AACTAAGATGGGCATTCAGCATTTACGACATAGACGGAAATGGGTTCATATCCAGACAAGAAATGCACGAAATAGTTCAAGTAAGCTTACATTACATTTGAGTGAATAAATTGAAGTATAGCAAGATTAGCTCAACATGAATAATCAAAAAGACATCATAAAATCACTGAGAAGACATCATTTTTTTGCTGGAGTCAACAAAAAAAAATCAGTCATATTGGCAGGATTCAATCAAATGATTCAAGATCTTGTTCTCGACAATGAAAAAACTGGAATCTTTCTCAAACCAACTAAATCAAATTGTGATATGCTCAATATTATATGGTTTGTTTGTTTTCAGAAATTCTGTCCAAAAAATTTGTTTGAAAACTTTCCACAAGCGAGGAATTTTAAATGAAAGTTTTATTTTAAGTTTTACCAAATAATAGGCTTTATCTTTATCTCTTTAGACAAAGTTTCTGCTGAGCATTTGAGATACCAATAACTCAAGACTGACCTTGAAAACTGATTTACTAGGAACCTTTTTTGTTCCAATTTTCGGCGAAAGCGGCCAAACGTTTGTTCTCTGGCTATTTTTCTTCCCTCAAGTTTCGATTTGTTAAATTATTAATCGATGATTTTTGTTTTCAGTCTGGATTATTTAAATGAATCTAATGGAAAAATAACACATATCTCACCTATGAAAAAAATTTAAGCCAATTTTGTATTGGTTCAAAGTTTTCTAATTCAAAGTTTTTATTGGTTCAATGATAAATCGCGCGAAACTCTAAGTTTTTCGTTCATGGGTGGGGCCAACGAAGAACTGATCCGGCTCCAGGTTTTTGCAAACTGAATTGAAGCTAGCCGCAACTTGTCTTTCACATCGAGTATGAAGAGATAATTCAGAAAAAGCTGTGAAGCTTTCGTTTAATTTTCGTTTAAGTTTTGATACCAGCACATCAATAATTAGAGGCAGTTTTTGGGTAATTGTTGTTCCCAATTTTTCCAACAAATCTTTTTGAAAACTTAATTCGAAGTGAGTGGCAGATCTGTAGAGAGGTTGGTCAAAAAATTTAGGTAAAATAGCTTATGTTATCAAAATCAAAAAAAGTGAAGTAAACCAAGTTTTCCTAATTTTTTGTTCCGACAATCGAAAGCGGTGACCTTGTCTTCAGCTGTGTTTTAGTTTTTTTTTTACTTTGTTGGTATTATCTTGAGAATAGCGTTTAACTTTCGCATTAAACTTTTATTTTTACACCGGAAAAGTTATTCTTCGAAGTTTTATTTAGCTTGTACTTGATAATACAAAAGTTTTAAAACATATTTTGCCAAAATATAACCAAATTTTTTTGAGAAATAGTTTTCAAAATTGTGTTTTTTGAATTTGTTTTTGTATTAATTGGTCAATTTCAATTTTAGTAGATTAAGTCTAATAACTAGTTTTCTAACCTCTTGTTTAGTTCCTAGAACCTGCAAAAAACTAAACAAGCTTGAAAAACAAACAGCAAACAGCATCTTTCGGAATTTTGAAATTTTAAGTTAAGCACTGATCACGCTTGTTGAAGATTTTGAAACGTGTGATTTGGTATAGAAGTTCGAATATAAAATGAATTTTCTCTCGATATAGGTGTCAATTAGCTCAACAAATTTTTTTCGAACAAAAATGCAAGAAGAAAGTGGTTAGATCATTTTTAATCACTTGTATGGTGAGCAGTTTGTCTCGTTCTTTATAGAGCCCGATTGAAAAGAAAAAACAATAACTCTTAAAAGTTCTGAATTTCACAGGCTATGACTAAAATGTTGAGAATCACAAGCGACTCAGAATCAAAAACCGAGGATGATCCTGACCCTCTCAAAACTCGACTGGAGGTTGTGTTCAGCAAGATGGATGCAAATAAAGATGGGAACTTGAGCTTGGAGGAGTTCTTAGGGATCTATTTCATAGTTTACCCTCTTTTTTTTTTAAATAAAAACCAAGAATATTTTTAAGTCTCCTCTGGCTTTTTTAAAGTCTAACTAATTTTCTATCAGAGAAATTTTTCATTGAGGGTTTTTGTTGCCAAAACAGCATTGTCGGTCGTGCATAGAAATGGATTTTTGACAAAAATTTTGTCACCAAACAGTTTTGACAATCGGTCAATTTTGGTCCTAGGAAAGCAATATCTAGAAAAACTTAAACGAAAAAAAAAGATTTTTGAGGTGACTGAAATCTTTTTTTACCAACTCACCTCTACCACTTTGAAAAAGACTCTTCTGACGAAACTACCCCCCCCCCTCTCTCATATCTTATTACAATGCAAAGATAAGAGGGAGAGGAAATTGTGAATTAGATCTGGGTTTCAGATGGTGTGAAGAAGGACCCGTCTCTCGTTCATCTATTGCAATGTAGCCCCAGTAGCGCCAGATGGTAGAACAAACAAAATGACCGAACACTTCTCCAAGTTATTTAAAATATATAGTCTGATGTAATTAGTGATCCGACAAAACTGTTCTCAGTTTTGCTTTTTGTTAAATCATGCTAATCTTAAATACCAATTTCTAATGAAAATCTGAAAAAGGGTCAAAACGTGCAAATAATCAGACTAGTTTTTTTTTCCGGTTTTCTGAAATTTGAATATGAGTTTCCACTTTTTGTAGTTTATTGCCGAAGAAGTTGAGATGATGGTGATGAAAAAATAAATTGGACATTGTGAAATATCTCATACACACTAACTGTAAAAAATAATGTATAAGAACCAAAGCGCAGAAGAAACGATTGCAAACATGGGCAAGGTGATTAAATAAAAAAACTGGATACCTGTACGACTAAAAAAAACTCTCCTTTGCGCACCCCTTCAGGGATTCCACCAGCCCACCAACCATAGGGTCCCCCCTTTGGTATTAATATAAAACGTTTATTATCGGGTGAGCAACCCTAAGTTTTTAAGCGCCATTTTTTGTTCCGACTTTCGATACGAAAGTAACGGAAAATTTGTGCTCGGGGTGGGTTTTTTTTCTTCAGACAAGTTTCGACTTTTTGACTAGCCACTTTTGACAGAATTTTTTAAATATCATTCGAAAGGTAATGTTGTCTTGAGCTCAAAATTGAAAAGATATTTTACCTGTGATCATTTTTCGTAAAGCTATGGGGGTTTAAAGGTTGCCATTTTGGCCATTTTGGGACAATTAACGCGCGATATATTTCGCGCTATTAACGCGTAAGCGGAGAGTTAATCCGTTTTAGAAATTGTTCCAAATTGGTTGAACGAAGCTTATTTGCCATAAATGATTTGTTTCAAGGAGAAAAAATTATCCTTTTGTACTTTATAGGGCGTGTGGGGGATTGGTTTTCTTTAACAATTTCAAATTTGAAAGAAAAAATTTTCAATTTTTTTATTACAGTTAAGTTTTTGAGGTTATTAGTGCTCCATAAACCTTAAAAGGCAGTCGGAACATTCATGACTTTGCCCTGATACGAGCAATCTTGTACAAATTTCGTAGCTATCTGTCAAATTTTTTTAATGGCTTTCTATGTCGATATTCTTCAGGTCTTTTTTGCCATTTTTAATCAAATATTATGCTACAAAAATAGTTGTTGTAATCATAAGTTTGACTCAACCTCAAAACTAAACTCTTTCGATCCCTGAAACGCAGCAAAAGCTAGCCCGTTTCAGTGTTATTACAAGTTTTGAATAACTTGATGAAATGTTTTGAGGCGCTTTTTTGTCTTCTTGAAGATTTCTGTTTGTAGTTTTGTAGTGCGTTTAAAATGTATTGATGTTTATTTTTTTCAACCCAATTGCTTGTGGCATAAAACCAGATGTGACCGATTGATCATCATTTACAACCTTTTTAGCAGTTTTAGCTTGTGAGTGGAGCTAAAAACATATATTTCAGTCAGTTTTAAGAAAAACTACACGAATATCTTTTTGACCAATTTTTAAAAAACAATCGGTAAACTGTATCTATGTGCTTTTCCAACTTTTTCCCCTGTAGCGCAATTAAAAACCTAAGTTAAGATAAACTTGCTGATTCCTTGTCTAAAAAATTTCATTAAGATTTCATTATCGCTTCAAAAATCACGAGCAAATGTTTTTTAACCACATTTATGTTTTTCCATTTTGTTTGCATGTATAAATTAACCCAATATGAATATGTTTCTGACTCACATTACGAGGCCAAACTGTGCATTGGATTTGCGCACAATTAAGCGTGTGTAGGTCTCTGGATTCCAGAGACAAGTCTTTAAACATTTTCCCATTTTGTCTTCACGATCAGAGGAAACAGAAGGAGACGGGTTGACGTCCATACAATAAAATGCCTTTCATACAAATTGATTGATAAAGTTTATGGAAAAAATGCATTGCATATGTTTTCATAGAGAAAAACTGATCAACTTTTTTTTCAATCTAAAGTTCTGTTTTCGAAAAAAATCTTCAAATGAATTACAACTCAAACAACACAAATTGGTGGTAATTATGGTTACATGAAAATAAATTTGGCTTCAAAAAAATTTTTTTAACATAAAAAATGTGTATTATACACTTTCAAATATGAAACTTTTGTGATATGCCTTTTTCAATCAAAAAATAGGAGCCAAAACTTTGTTATCGCTTTTTTGGTTGCAGACTTGTGTCTGTGCTCAAATATACATTGGCAAGCAAAATATGATTTATTGTGTGTTTATTTTGTAGACAAGGTTGAGTTTTTCACCCATAAGTTTCAAAAGTCACAAGAAAATGTTTTTTTTTTGTATTTAATCACATTTATTTTTTTCGTTTTTTTTTGCTAAGAATATTTTAGTAAAAATTACTGGCCTCTTTTTCTCAGCCACCGGAACTTTCAAAGTAAAAAAGGTTCTAGCCAATAAGAAAAATTTACGTTTTTTCCATAAAACTCTAAGTAGAAATTTCAACTTGCATGGCCAATATCAATAACGGCAGTTATTCTGCAGGTAACTGCCAGTTAAACTCTGGTTTTCCTTTTGACAGAGTATGTTTGGTGCGTTTCGTTAGTTGTTTCTTGGTTAGTGTGTTTCGGACGAACCAGAAAATTTAAAAAAAATTTTGGTTTTTGATGTACAAAATCTTTTCATTAAGTTTCATATAATAAACAAAATGCTATCATGCATTTTGATAAAGAAATAAAACGGTTACTGTTAGTTTTTTACAATTAGTGTGATCAAAAATTATGGCAAAAAGCTTTTATTTGAATCCAGAATGTGGCAAAAACGCTTATTATACAAATTCATAGAAAAGAGAAAATGCATATTATTTTTCAAGCAGTTTGTTCAGTCGATAAAATTGTATGAAACTATGACAAACGTTTTCAATAAATTGAAGTGGTATGATATGCATTTTTTTTCAACCTGCGAAACATCAAAGAGAATGATCTTTTTGCGGATTTTGCCTAATGTTCACAAAACTCTTAGTTTGGCCTCGTAATGCTTCATAGATCTGTATCTTGAAATCAATTTTGCAATACGGAACTTATGGAAGCTTAAAAACAACCAAGGTCAGTTTTTTTAAATTTCACTGGGCCCTTAACGAATCCATAAAACCTAGTTCTTTATCTGTAGGTCAACCTTTAGTTGTGCCCACTTTACTGAAATCATTTCAATTTGACGCTAATTGTGGCGTTAAGGGGCATCGGTAATGGTTTTGCCCAGCAATCATATGATTGCGCGTTCAAATGGAGTGCGCTGCAATTTGCAAGGTGAGCTCTTGTAAGATAGCCATAGCTTAGTTAACCTCATGACTGGTTAAATAGAAAAAATTAATTGTGTGTATGTATTGCTTGAGTTGAAACAACAAAAAATGTATTTATTATCCCTAATCCACTGGTTGTAATTAACATGCTTTCTAGCAGCTCGTTTTTTCTGGGCATTTGATAAAACTTGCGGTATATCGAACTGATTGCCAATTTCATTGACCTTCACTCACTTATCGCAATTGACACAAAAAATTCATGTTCAAAGTTCTGAAAGTTTTAGAAATGACAATCAGTCGGTGGTAAGTCTTGCATTTTAGTCGCTCGTTTAGTAAAAATAAAGCTATCATCTGTTTTAATTTTAGAAAATCAATCTTAAAAAGCTTTTTTTTTGTTTCGCCTAACTTTTAAACAACTCGAAAACTTCGTCCTTTCTGTCCCTCCGATGATTGTTACAATTGTATTGTTACAGTTCAGTCAACTGAATTTCTTTTATCCTTGCGGGAAATTGATTCTCGTTATCTGAGTACCAATTGAGGCTTGTTAAAAAATCATCATGTTAGAATTTCCAATTTGAACCCAATTTCAAGATCAACTCAGCTTTCCTGTCAGTTCATTTTTTGGAAGTAAAACCGTTCCGCCTCGTATATCTCTCCTCTATATATTTAGGATTAAAATGTCCAGTTGTCTAAGCTTAAGCATATTTGATGTTTTTCGGTCCGAGTTTGAGTTACGCGAAAAGAGATAATTTGATTACAATCCGTGATTTTGTCAAAAAAGTTTTCGATTTCGCAGATGATCGCTTTCACTAGTTTCAGATTTTGATATCGAACGTTATCGTTATGACTAGATCTCAGAAAACTTCTTCTGTGTCTATGCTGACCAATGACTTCTTATAGTGACTTCTTTATGTTGTTTTTTTTCTATCTGATCTGGCGGGCTTGTTTTCCTAGAATTATTATTTGTTAGACACGTTTGATTATGTATTCTACAATTCCATACATCAAGTGTATGGATAAAATGCTTGTCATACAATTTTCATACATTTTCGAAAAGCAATAGAAAACAAAAACTAAACATTTTCTGCGGCTTTTTGAGAACAGTTGAACAAGCTGGTAACGGAAAAAAAAACTGGCTTAAAATTTTTTTTCATATATGAAAATAGTATGACAAGAATTTACGCCAAAGGGAATAGTTTTTTTTGAAAAGTTTTTGCAAACCAGGTTTTGGAAACTTTAAATGAATTGGTAGCATTTTTTTCAAAGGATGAGAACAAAACGCAAAAACAAATCCGGTCAAAT